GTTGACAGTGTTATAGATGACAGTGTTGTACGTTGACAGTGTTATAGTTGACAGTGTTATAGTTGACTGTGCTGTACGTTGACAGTGTTATAGATGACAGTGTTGTACGTTGACAGTGTTATAGTTGTCAGTGTTATAGATGACAATGTTATAGATGACAATGTTGTAAGTTGACCGTGTGTTTTTACCCTAATTTCATCACTGGCGTTTTTACTGGCGACGATGACTTCCGGGCTCATCGACATCAACATAGTGTCACTATCTCTGTCGATTTCGTTTAGCTTGCAGAGAATCTTTCTGAACATGTCGACTGTACCGTCGACAAAATTCTGATTTATTTCAGCTAAAAAAGGAAAAAAATTGGAATCATTGTTAGATGTTGTGTTCGGGTTCGATTGATTGATCGATCGATTTGGTTGGATGATTGGTTGGTTGATTGGTTGGTTGGTTGGTTGGTTGATTGCTTGATCCATTGGTTGGTGGTTGATTAATTGATCGATTGGTTGATTGATTGATTGGTTGATTGATTGATCGATTGGTTGATTGATTGATTGATTGATTGATTGATTGATTGATTGGTTGGTTGATTGGTTGATCGATTGGTTGGTTGATTGATTGATTGATTGATTGATTGATTGATTGATAGATTGATTGATGGATTGATTTGTCGATTCATTCATCTGTTCATCCAATCTTTGTTTTGTCGTCCTTATTTATCCCATTATCATTTAACTTACCCTGAAATTGCGCGTCGTCAGCTTCTTTACCAAGAACTTTTGCCTTTTCATACTCTTTTTTATATAAATCGTGGAATTCCTCCGCTCTYGGTTCAATGTCCTTGCAGTTCCGTACGGCTGAGTAGATATTCGCAGCTAATGTAACCGCCACAGACGCATAATTTGCTATTTGAGTAAAGATTTTTACTCCTTTGAAAAGTGATGTCACCCATCCTATTGAATTCAAGCATATTTAAAAACTCAAAACTATAGTCAGTTTCGTYGCATCCTGGGAAACCACGGGGCTTTTGGACATCCTCGGAAACCAATTGGTTGTTGAATTAGACAWGGAGATTTAGGACGGGTGTTTATGATTTTCATACCTTTTTTCCCGCCACAYTCATCGACAGGTTTTTGTTGGACTAAGTGCATTCTCTTCGAACCACCATCGAACGCTAGAGACACAAGAATACATAGTACAGTCGAACCTCAATAAAACGGCCTTCTATTTAGCGGTCACCCTCTATTAAGCGGTCAATCATGAATTTCTCCATGCAAAGTCAATTCTCATATATATATCAAATGGAAACGTGACSTCTATCATAGGGTCAAGCTCTATTAAGCGGTCACTCATGAATTTCTCCAAAGTCAATTCTTATATAAATTAATTGTAAACGAGACATCTATTATACGGTCAACCTCTATTAGGCGGTCAACTGGTCCTTCCCCAAGGTGACCGATTAATTGAGGTTCACTCTTGACTATAGTGCTATAAACTACGCCCATTTCTTCGTTTCTTATCGTCAAATCAACACTTTTTAGGAAGTTATATCTGTTTCACAGATTTARTGCGTCTACTATAGCGCAAGGGAARTYATYCCAGACCTTATTGGTCCAGGAACTCTATAAAATGCAATAAAAGTATAAGATAATTCTTTCCATACCAGATCCACTATCGTCATCGTCATCATCAGCATCGTCATCATCATATTGATCCTCGCTTTCAAACCCGAAATCATCATCAAAGTTGTGTCGAAAAGGAAGCTCATTGTAGTTCAGTCGCTCATAAGCTGTTCTTGCCCTCGCCATCTCTTCTCCGAGTATCAAGATGCAAAGGAAGAAAGCAAAACGGTACTTGCAACGAGGTTTCATCTTTTTTCCTGGATAATGAGAAAGGTAAGGAAGACAATGTAGATGTATTCATGCCAGGAAAGGGCAAATCTCGGGGTATGGACGAATGGAGGGGCTCGCGATCTCCCTTCCTTAACTGAGGTGAAAAATGTTGTTAGTAATGAGATTCTTATGGCTACAAAACATTTTCACCCTAGACTTGTTATCATAAAAATACGGGACCCACCCTTTACAGGCCAACTGACGAAATACATTGAATAATGTYAAGATTTATACAAACTCACATTGATGGATCATAAATCTATTTTTTGCGACCAAACGCTATATATATGGAATATGTTTGATACTCTATCTAACAGCACAATTATCCATCATGACAAACTTATCGTACGGTTTCAGTTGGTCCATCCAACATTTTTTATCGATACTGTTTCATTATAACCGTCGATACTGTACCAGTATTCTCTTTACTCCGACGAAGGATTAAMGTCCGAAACGTCAGTAAGTTATTTCACCTACTTTTTTACGGTGTTAAATTTATCTTTTTACACAACTGTTTCTTTAGAAACACCGACTCAGCTCACACTAGTTTACCGCTAGTTCCCACCATTTTGTCAACACAGTATAGTTATATCTAATCGTATTGTTATTTAGCCTTACCGGATCCCGACTGCTTCTCGCGTCTAATGAGTGTAGGGAATAATTTTCCCCACTTACGATCCACTGCAGGTAGATTTTCTTTTGTTTACATTTAATTAAATGATATTTAATTTGATTTAAGTTTGTTAGTCGGTGTTTTTAATGAAATATGGGACCACGAGTCCACGTTTCAATTGGACAATAGAACGGAAAATAACGCAGAATTGGACAGTAAACCCGTGAAACAAAATCTAATTTTCAATGTAATAAACCTTTTGTCGTTCGTGTTTCAAAAAATAACAAATTTGGGGTAGGGGGGGCGGCTTTTTTATATCTTTGTTTGGGCTTATGATTGGCTAATATTTCTATTATTGTGGATGTAATTGCATTATTGGCAAGTTCTTGCTTTGATATCTAAAGTCAGAATGCACCGAGGGTTGATATTATTTGYGTGGAGTTATTTATGGTCGAACCTCTATTTAGCGGTCACCCTCCATTAAGCCGCGATTCTCATATATATATTTACTATAAACATGACCTCAATAAAATGTGACCAGGTCTCCAGGTGACCGATTAATAGAGGTTAAATTGACTATATATATTAAGGATTTGTTTCCCTTTGTCTAGCAAGCACATCACACAATCATATATCTTAATTAAATTTTACTTCTCAGCTACTTTAATTTCAAGTATCTGAAAAAGTATCGATTCTTTTTTGATTCGCTGTSCCATGAATAAATTATTGATCTTTAATTAAAAGGCTGGATAATAAAGCTATACAACCTTTTAAGGTATTGTGTTCTCCGCACTTGACGTCAAATTTCTTTTTTGAATTCCTTTTGTATTGTAAAAAATTCAAAAGAATAAATTTGACGTCAAGTGCTGAGAAYACAATACCTCGGGACTTACAGCCTTTTGCAAAAATTATGAGAATTGTCTAAATATCTAAATATCATAATATCCATATCCATATATTGTCCGGAACACGCGGGTTTGCTAAAATAATTCATTGTTGACATCGAGAAAATGTTCAGAACTACGGATAAGTCTGTCGCCAAAAAAAAACTAACTACGTCTGTCGCCAAAAAAAAACTAAACTACAAAGACAAGGGACTAAGGGCATCGCGCGAGATTACCCACCATGCACTCGATATTATGACATTTAGATATTTCAACAATTCTCATACTTTTTGCAAAAGGCTGTATTAAAATGGTGTATATTAAATACCAAACGTCAAACAGCTTTAATTGACTGACATAAGAAGAGACATTTTTCTTTACTTATTCAAATATCTTTATTTTCATTCATTGCATGTTTCTCTTTTTTAAGTTTTTTTTTCTACTGTATTTCGTCTGGTTTTGCTTGGTTTCGGTTCCGTGCCAATTCGGAGACTGATTTCGCTTTGGTTCGTGTTTGATATCCCTACTCCTCATCGCTCTCACCWGGTTGGGGGGCTGGTTCAGGTGGAGGAAAGAAACTTTCAGGAAGACATCTAAAAGAAGAACCACAGATTCTGATTACTCACTATCTGATGATTCAAGATACTGATGAATAAAACATCAGCGTTRAAAGCGCCCTTTAAGCTCTCTCGTACAGTGGTACCGGCATAAAGCCTTATTCTATAAGCTTTTCAAAGCTCAGTATGTTAAATGCGATKGTTGTACAGTCTATTTTTTTGACCATTGCCATACTTACTCAATGCCGTACTTCACACTGCAGTCGATAGTTGCAATCAAGTCTTTGAGACCCGGTTTATACTCATCTCGGAGCTGGCCTGAAATAATGTTTTCAATCATTTGAGGCGGGACTGTGCCTACTCCTTTTAAGTTACAAATCGTTCGCTTCTGGTTTGCGGACGGGCCATYYGGTAACGCTTTGATGGCTTCTTCGACGCCTTTTAGATCTTTTCCACCGCTTGAAGCGATTTGCTCTGCAGTTTTTTTCAATTCCTTATACTCTTTGCAAATGTAATTGGCTGTTACTTTGTTATTGAGGAAACAGACCTTTTGATAGCCTTTCAGTTTTGCAGTTTCCTCCCAYGCTTGTACGATACTATGGTCAGGTAGATAGTCGATACCCATGCTGTCTTTACAGTATCTGGGATTACCTGGTTGCATACTTTCTAAAGACGTATCAAACCGTGACCTTTCTTGATCTAAAAGCTTGTCCAACGATTCGACGCCATCTCTGCATTGACTGATGACGTTTCTGATGATTTTGACTTTGTTTCTGTAGCAGACGAAAGCGAATGGCACCCTGTGAAAAAAGTGMAGTTATATTATTTCTGAGTTCACATTCTTCCAAGTTTCAGTTTCTTTCCTTCTTCCCTCCCTCCCTTTACTGCATTTCTTCGGCATTTCAAATATTCTTTTCCATTCATCMAAGATCATTCAGYCATTCAATCTATCTATCCAGCATTCCTTCAATCCACTTTTCCACCTTTCCTTTTAGCMAYCCTAGGTTACAACTGTAAATTTATTTACGAGGGAATATCGACTTTTATTAGGCGACCATCTTGAAATCTTGAATATTGCACTATTCGAGCAAATTTCACAAAATGTTTACTATGTTATTTTTCCAAAACAAAAATGCGGTTTAAAATAGTGGGAAAGAATGATTTTGTAGCAAAAGAACAATGAAAAACATGACTTYGTGTTGGAGAAGCACTGTTTTAATTTCATTTTTATTTATTTATAATTAACATCTTTTATAACTTTTTTAACATTTTTTTATTTACATTTGGTTGTAGAGAGAGAACGCTTTAATCCGTGAAATTTAACTTTGTACTATTTTGTACAATTTAGGAAATGGTGTTCATAAGAAGCAATGGTCTTTTGAAGGATTCTCAGCTTCATAGTGCAGATTTTGTGCGAAATTTATGCTTTTTGATTTTGTAAAACGTAGAAATTTCTTTTGCCGAGACCCCAAAGAACKTAGGAATAATTTCTTTATTGTTCTTTTCTTTGACCTTTTCGGCCTAAGATTGAATCATTCTTAGCTTTGAAACCTGTATATTAATTTAATTACTTCTTCTGTTGTAGCTTGTTTAGATAGAGATACGTTTACAACGTTAAAACCGTTTTAAACCATTTCACGGATTGTATGCGTTTACTCTACCAAATAAAAACATTCGCATCTTTGTTTTTCTTTATATATTTCATGCTTGCTTGGTTTTGGTAAATCGTTTTCTATTCTTAAGTCGAGATTGATTTTTCACTTTGTTATCCAAGTCCTCATACTTTGGTGTCTGTTTCTGCAGGTTGGGGTGCTGGCTCARGTCGAGTAAAGAAATTCTTAGGAAGACAACTAAAAGATGAAGAAAATAGTAAGTCCATTGAATTCCATGTTTTTTATAGATACTAATGAACAAAACATAAGAGATACTGATGAACAAATGATCAGGTACTAAAGAACGAAACATCAGTGATAATGGTGAACAAAACATCAGTGGTACTGATGAACAAAAAATCACTGATAATGGTGAATAAAACAACAGTGATTCTGATGAACAAAACATCAGAGATACCGATGAAAAAAAACATCAGAGATACTGATGAACAAAAGATCAGAGATAATGATGAACAAAAGTTCAKAGATACTGATAAAGAAGGATCAGTGATACTCATGAGCAAAACATCAGATATACTGATGAAAAAATGATCAGTGATGCCGATGAGCAAAACATCAGTGATGCCAATTAACAAAATAGCAGTGCACTGATGAACAAATATATCGAAAATGTTGCTATAAACACTGTTTTTGTCCACTGCTCCCGGATGGTTGACGGCGCAAAGAAACATGACAATTGACATAATTTTGTCGGGTATTTTAGGCTTACTTACGTAGCACCATACGTCACTTTGCAATCTATTGCTGCAATAACGTCCTGTGGGACCTTYGTGGCCGCTTCAATATCTTCAGGTTTGACGTTATACTTTCGCATGTTGCAAATCACTAGCTTCTTGTTGTCACTCAAGCCTTTGGGCAGATATTTAATCGCTTCTTCGACGCCCTTGGGATCCAATTCCCAGTCGGAGGCAATTTCTTTTGCAGTTTTATTGTGTTCTTTATAATCGCTGCAAATTTTCTCACCGTTGACTTTTCCATTTAGATAACAAGCTTTTTGATAGCCTGTCAATTTTACTGTTTCCTCCCATGCTTGTACGATACTATGGTCAGGTAGATAGTCGATACCCATGCTGTCTTTACAGTATCTGGGATTACCTGGTTCCATACTTTCTAAAGACGTATCAAACCGTTTCCTTTCTTGCTCTAAAAGATTGTTCAGCGATTCGACGCCATCGCTGCATTCACTGACGACGTTTCTGATGATTTTGGCTTTGTTTTTGTAGCAGACGAAAGCGAATGGCACCCTGTGAAAGAAGTGATGTGATATCGATTTCGTTCCCCCTGCTTAACTTCTTCTCTCCCCTCTACGTCCTATCCTCTTCCTTAATTTCCTCCCTTGCTCCCTCCCTGTCTTTCTCCCTTCCACCCTCCCTTCCATCCATCCATCCGTCTRTCTTTCCATCCACCATTTATTCCCTGTTTCCTTCCATTCATTTAATGGCCCTTCCTTTCTTCCACCAATCTACCCACCCCAACGTCAAATAAATGATAGTGCATTAAGATAATCATTTAGGACTCTTACTTGAGAAGAACATTGTAAAGATCTCTGCTTTGATTGTATGTATCACTTTGCTCTTCTGCAGTTTTGATGTTCTTCAAAAACTTATCGATACCGCTTGCAACATTTAACATTGCTTCGCTTTTATTAGCAGCGCCTTCCATGACCTTCTTTGTCGTGCTTATGGACTCAAGGAACATGTCATCGGTGAGATTTCCTCGCATTAATTTCCAGCTCTGTTAGTTATGAGATTAACTTATGAGAACAAAGTAACAGATATTTGGTGATTATTTCACGGAGCATRTAAAACTATAACGTCTTGATGAAATGCGTTGACGCATTGGTTGATTAATTCCGAAAAACACGGGCACWTTTCAAAAATATCACAGGCGYGGAAGCGAAAGCGTGATATTTSAAATAAAAAGACGGATTACTAACCGAAAGTATCTMGTTTAAGTGMCTGCATCCACGATATTATTAGAAGCGYCATTGCATTTCGGAAATCATCAGTAAAGGTGTTGTTTATATTTCTCGACGCCATTTATTGCTATTTCAACTTACCGCGTCCATTTCCTTTCTGTGTTCCTTTATATCTGCCATTTGTCCATTGATCGTATCTGTAGCATTCAGGACCTGATCGTARGCTCCCTTTATATTGTCGTAGACAGCCTTGCAGTCGCTTGTTAGACTTTTTATTGTTTCATACATCTGATAGCCTGGAAGAAAGTAATATGAGTTTGATTAAAAGGCCCACGTAATTCAATTTTTCAATCTTWAACATTTCATACATTATTATATATATTTATTGTTTATTTTTTGTAATTGTCCGTTATCCAGCTTTACGGCTGCAAAGGATTTTAATAAAGCTATCTATCTCTATCTATCTATCTATCATGCATCCGAGTTCAGTTCGCACAGTCTCAAAGTCCTTGATTTTTTAGCTAGGTCCTTAAAAAGTCATTGATTGCAAATGTTCCTTGAAAAGTCCTTGAATTTGGAGGAAAGGTCCTCCTCAACGATAATTTAGTCCTTGAATTAGTCTTGTTGCTATAAAGTAATGTTTTTGGGAACAATTTAGACAAGCTTTAAAGCAAAATGACAAGAATTCAATCCTTTTTGCGATACCTGTTGTACTATTGTCAAATATGGCAGCCAAGAAATTAATTAAGAGATTGAGGAAAACCTTCTCTTCGTCATTGAAAGACCCAAATAAATTGTATATTGTTTATTTGAATTTCCTGTAGCGTTTTACGCCGATATCCTTGAAACAGCCGAAATAATTATTGATCATGAAATAAKAATAAAGTCAATAAACAAATCACCAAGCGCGCCATACACACTCCGACCTTTACCTGCCAWGGCTAAGTTCAGCCCAATACCAAGTCCGGCCTTAAACCTTKTAGCGAATTTTTTGATKTTGGTAAATCTAATGTTGAATCTCCTTTTCAACTTAATTATTTTGGTCTTGAATCTGGCCTGAGTTCGYCCGATCCATTGTCCGAATCTTGTCTCCTTGAGCTTCGCAGCTAATCCAGTCTTTGGAGCTTCAAAATCCACGCCAGTATTGACTTCATACTAAGTGCAAAAAATAATAATTAATAATAAATAACGTACTTGTTCTCACGAGTGGCCGTAAATATTTGAAATCAGATCCTAACTTTTACTAGAAATTTATCAAAAAAAGGTTCTKAAACGAAATTAATTCTCTTTTACGGGACGACCTCAATACATATCGTTCTGATACTGACTTGTCTAAACTTTTCAAGTAACTCAGTTTCACCCATGTCCATGGGCCTGTCACTTTGTCAATTTTGTCTTTYGTTTTTTACCTGGAGTATTTAGCTGACTATCTCGAGTTATAGCTCTTTTGTTTACAGTATTTTTCACGTGTAATATTTATGATACATTTTGTTATTGTGAAATGTTAAATTAATATTTGTGAAAAAGCTTCAAATATACTATTTAATCCAATTCTATGTAACTTTAATCTGCAAGACTAGCTCCAGCTACAAGGTTAAAAATGTAAACCTTTTTTTTGTAAATAAATAAAGAACTATCCATCTTACCCACTGTCTTGTATAAATAGACAAGGATAGCAAGGAGTATATTGTTACTTTGGGCTCACAAACAGAGATAACATTGGCGTCATTAGCTTTGGAATCGGGATCAATTTCTTAGTGATCTCAGGAGCACAAAGCAGAAGTACATAACGTACTTCTGGCACAAAGCTATTCAGGATCAAAATTTCGGGGATCAAAAATCAGACATGGGATCGGGAACAACAGAAATGTATGCCWAKTTWCTACTTTACATAGATCGWATGTACTCACAAAGCCCATTTTTCGYTCTCTATATCGTTTCTTTGAGAACTTGAATATGTCGATACCAGCAGGAATTGCCAATGCAAGGGCTGAGAAGCCAATGGACAGAGCATTCTCTAGYCTGGAGTTRAACAGTCCCTCAACTTCAAGATATTGAACTTTTTCCATCGTCCTATTTTTCTGCTCGACCAATTTCTGGATATTATAAAATATAAATGGATTGAACCTTGTGCTTCTCGTGAATAATGTAGCTGCTACGAAAAAAACCCACTGATTAACGAGTTACCGTAATTTCCTTGCTGGCGTTCAAGCTTGCAATTCGCACTTCTGGACTGATCGTTTGCAGYAGAGTTTCACTATCTGTGTCGATTTCATTCAGCTTGCAAAGGATTCTRCTGAAGAGATCGGCGGAATCTTCAATGTAGGTCTGGTCAAGTTGAGCTGAAAACGAAATTAGGATTTTAGTATTGGATTAATGCGACGAGACCATCAGCTGTGGTTTGGCGAAAAGATATATTTTACCAAAGAGGTCTACACTTTACTGATAATATGCTTGAGAGGTGGATTTYTCTGCCCGATCCACTAMAGAAAAGACCCSTCTTTCTTGCACACAGYCCCTGACATAATACCTTCATACTGTATGTCATCGGCCTCCTTGCTGATTTTTTCAACTTCTTTTTTTTGTGCATTGAATTTATTCAAATAGGTCTCGGCTTCAGGGTATGTCCCTTTGCAGCCCTCTATGGCCTTGTAGACAGWAGCGGCTAGAGATRSAATTGTTGTTCCATAGTTGATGACCTTGGMGCCAATTTTCAAAGCTTTGAATACCCCGGATACCCATCCTGTTTGAAACAAAGAAGGTTTAGTAGTTTAATGTTATCTGTTTTTGTTACGTTTAACATTACGGCTGCGACTACTTGGTAATCTCAAATTCTCGTTTATAGCGTCCATAACGTCAACATGGCCGCCAACTTTCATGTTAAGCTCATTTTCAAAATGAATCTAAAGCGCCGTTTACACTAGCAATTTTTCCTTGACAAGTTTTCCTTGACAAGGAAAATTTGCCCGAAACACCGTAAAAAAGTAGGAGAAGTAAGACGTAGACGTTTCGGACGTTAATCCTTCGTCGGAGTAAACTGAAYATGATGTTAGAGGAGCTATAAACGAGATGCATTTTAATCWGATCTAAAACGACCACTTCTACTTGAAAATAAAGCTAGATAACTAGAGTAAATTGACAGTTAAAATTCTAATCCTTACCGAGATAAAGAGTCTAAAAMGTAAATTAAAACTGTATTTAACGCTCGCCAGAATGAACACTCACTACTAAARTGAGCATACATAAACAGACCAGCGCAAAACGTCTCATGTTGAAAACAAGTTATCGAAGCGTTGGGTGACCAACATCAAATGKTCAACACCTGATGATGGTGGTCCTCATTATACACCAAGTCTGGTTGTCTTGGTTATCGGTGTAGTGAAAAGTCATTCCATTTGATTTTTGCAAAATGCAAATACGTTCAGAAATCTTAAGTTGGACCCTCGGAGTGATTTTAGTGTAAATATTCATTAKTAGCTCAAACTTGCAACTTTTACACAAAAAAGGTCTTTGACTCGGAATCTCAGAAACTTTTAAAAAGAGGTCATATTATGGCTATGTTAAGTAATATTTAGCTGCTTTARAACAACGCGACGCAACTCTTGGGAGGCATGCAATGCAAAGCACATATTTTTTTCAATTTTCAGTCCATATAGATACACTTCTTGAATCGTAGATGATGTTAAATGAGCGTGAACCTGCAACTTAATTAAGCTTCTTTGCTTAYCAACTCCATAGAGAAGCTTAGTAAATGAAAAGGTTGCCTATTTTAGTCAACGCAGGAGAGTAACCACGAGACAGTAACTTTCAAGATAAAAAAAGATTACAAGTACACGTAGCTTTCAACTTTCTAAATTGATCTAAGTTTATTTTAATGTGTATCCCAAGGTTATTATTTTTGAGTTGCAAACTGATTTATCCATCGTTATAGGTTAACTTTTTCACATTTCTGTTATAATCCATATCACTCCACCAATGTTGCATTCTCTGTATGTGTTAACAGCGAGTACTTTCAAAATATAGTTTCATATTCATCATTATCCGATTTTGAAAACACTCAATCTGACATAAACAGCGGCGAACTTTGTGAAGTATAGCAAATGAATGGAATTACTCCCTTTCCCTCTGAGTTTTGTAAAATAGTTGAGCTTTGAAAACAGTTAAGAAGCCAGTTTTACATGTTAAGCTAATTAATATATATGAAAGTATATTACAATATATCATAGCTTGGACAGCCAGTCACTCATTCCATCTCCGAGATTTCATATAGTTCTGTCTTGCTTTTGAATGAAGTGCTCAACTTCATCTGAGAAAGTTAACAATTAGCGCTTGCTATATATGCTTCTGTATGAGTCCATTCACCTTAAATGACAATTCCAGACTACAATTGCAAACCTCTTTGATATAAACTTTTACCCCTACGAYACTTTAATACAATGCTTATCCAATAATGCAACGATTAGAAATGCTTAATGCTACTAGCTAGTCCTACATTTATTAAGTATTATCTTTTCGGGTTAATATTAATGCTAAAAAATGAAAATGATTAAAAGATTTCAGTTAATAAGCAAACTTAATAACCCATTGATTATCACAAGTTGAATATGATGCTAAAATGGTGGGAACTAACGGTAAACTAGTGTGAGCTGCGTCGGTGTTTTTAAAGAAAGAGTTGTGTAAAAAGATAAATTATTGTGTAAATGGGGTAAAATTGACAATATTATTTTTCCTTGTCAAGGAAAAGCCAACAAATTTGCTCGTGCATATGGACAACAAGGAAAATGTGTCAAGGAAAAATTGTCAAGGAAAACTTGTTGACCATTCACATGGGCAATTTTTTCCTTGTCAAGGAAAACTTTTTCCTTGTCAAGGAAATTTAACACAAACCTTTTTTGCCTGCACATTGATCTTCGGGAGCTTGAGGGGTCAATGGCCTAAATCTTTCATTGGATTTCGCTAAAAACAATATTAGACATTGAACACAGACATGCAATTTGAGTATGCAAAGCAATATTCAACCATCCAACATGAAATACCTAATTCTTTACATTACAAGAATCTCTGTACCTATTTCATTCCTTCGTTCTCTCTTACCTCTATTACGAACACCTCTATATTACGGTCACCCCTGTATTACGAACACCTTTATATTACAGGTACCTCT